TCATAGGATTCCCAAAAGAACTCACTATGTGACTTAGAAAGTAGTTGAGCCACCAACTTTCTCAAGACTTTGACACCCAACTCTCCCGGCTTGTCAATATGTGACTACATCTCCAAGATGTGATCACACCTAGACCTTGCCTTGCCAATAGGGCTTGAGTGACCTTAAACTTTTTAGGAACTTGTGGGTTAGGGAGAATAGTTGGAGGAGGTGAAAGAAGTATGATATCCATGGGACATCATCTTCATTTAGGAAAGCTTGTTTCAAGAGATTTGGGAAGATCATAAATGTCTAGACCAGACATCTTTTTGGGAGATATTCAAGATAGTTGATTTAAAGTCCTTAATATGACACCCAATATGAAATATTAAGGCTAGGACCCAACAAACTATTTTATAACTTAGAAGAGGGATGCCGTAATCCAAGCTATAAAATATTTGAAGGTAGGTGAATGACAATTCACAAATTTCCACCATGAAAAACGAAATAATTTATTAGGTTTTAATTGGATTTGAAAGTCCTAGATCTTTGAGATTCATTTAACTGTTCAAAGGCATGTTTCAATCTCGAGTGTGCCCTTCAGGTTTTGTGACTGGGATGCCGAGGATCACAATACAAGGTGTGAATAACCATGCAAATATACTTGGTACCCTTAATATTTACCCCTTAATCAGTGTGCCGGTTAACCACACACGCTCCACCGATACTATGATAAATATTAAGTTACCCTTGCCTACCTTGTTAAGTCCAGGTTAGTGTGCCGGTTAACCACACACGCTCCACTAACGACTTAAGCAAAGTGCAAAGTGTAATTTCATGGGTTAGCACCAAATTCACATTTTCCTAAGTAACTAAGATTGGGTATTAATAAGAGTTTAGTTACTTAGTATTTATCATTAATACTTTTAATGAAAGGAGAATTATACTCCTTGTCCTACCCGTTCGGCTAACGACCCTCCACCAGTCAAGGAAGCGGTGGGTGAGAGTGGACACCCATTAAACAGCCATTTTATAGGCAGTAACCTTATACCCCCCTTATAGACCGGCTTCGTGAATGAGGCCTACTAATGGTAAGACTGACTTTACTCTTATATATATATATATATATATATATATATATATATATATATATATATATATATATATTATATAAATATTATTAACTTATAATATTATAAAGTATAAGGGTTGAATTTTAACTTTTAAATTCTAAGGTTAATTGGAATTAAAGTATTCATAAGTGAAAACTTTTCAAATTCCAAAACTTGAGGGCAAGTTTTGAAACTATTCAAAACTAATTAATTCCATAACTTATGAGTTTAAAGTAGTTTTAATTAAAAAAAAAAAACTCTTCAAGTTCCATAACTTGAGGACAAGTTATGGAAGACTTTAAACTAATTAATAAAAAAAATAACTTTTTTTTAATTGTAACTTATGGAACTAATTAAGGTTACACTTTTTTTTAATTTAATGAAGAGACTCTTGAACCTCCATAACTTGAGGACAAGTTATGGAGTCATAAAGCCATTTAATTAGAACTAGGCTCTTCATTTTGTAACCTTTGCCAACTTTTATGAGTTTTATGATTCTTAAATGTGACTTTTCATATAACTTGAGGACAAGTTACAAAAACACACTTTGGAATCAACTCTTAGATTAAAATGGATTGAAAACAACTATTTCACACAACTTTTCTATTAATCTAAGAACCTCATAAGAACAAGATAATTCAAATCATCAATCTTCAAGAAATTAGCATGAACATACAAACTAATACAAATCTTGAAATTATGACAATTATCTTAGAAATTGGATTAGCATGAACATTACCACATCAAAACAAGTTTATAAGTCCAAAAACATCTTAGGGTAATGTTCCTAGTCCAATTCCAGCCAACACAATCGAATATATGCATCCAACTCGATTTTTCAGCTACTTTTGCAAGTATAACAAGAAAACAAGCCTAGGCTCTGACACCACTGTTGGGTTATGAGCATTCTAACACTCCTAAGTGTACATGCAACCCTAAATACCTTGGATCTATGTTTTCTCTATTATACATACAATTATGAACATCCAAGGTATTATCCTAATCTAGCATACAAAATAATAAATATAACAAGATAGAATACATACCTCTTTGATGTAGAATGTCTTCATGAAGCTTGAGTGTCTAGTGCCCCAAGTGTGACACCTCAAATGGTTCACACAACACCAAATACACTTGGAATAACTTGAGAGAAACTTGAACACTCCTTGAAATCGTCTAGCCCTCACACTCACACATTAGTGCACGATTTCTTGAGCCATGGGATTCTTTTATATGGTGGCTATTAGGGTTACACCATGTAACTCATAACATTACCCATTCCTTATGCTCCATGGATTTTAACCTCCATGGAGTATCCATGGGTCACCCCATGGACTTAGTCCAACATAAGGAATCTTGGATCACAAGCCCACATATATAAGAATGAATGATTTACATAATCAACCCATATATTTAATTAGTCTCCTTTTGATCACTTAATTAATTCCAAATTAATTCTTGATCAATACTAATTAAATAACCTTATTAATATATTAGAACTTATAATATATTAACCAACCTTAAGTGTTATTTCTCTCATTATAGTCTATCCAAATGCATGATGAAATGCAACCCAAATGGACCATGCCGGGTCGGGTCAAGTCTTACGTTGGTTGTACGTGACGAACATTCAAACCCTAATTTTTAGGGTTTTAACCCTATTTAAACATCCTTAACTCCTAAGACCCCTTCATTCATCAGTCTCCATCCCCATTTTCGACCCTTGCTAACCCTAATCCTCTTGTGTGAGCATTATTGATCTTGAGTGTCTATTTTAGTGATCTTAAAGGAGGAAGAAGGAAGTGGAATCATCTTGGGAGCTCAAATATAACCTAGATCCAGAAGCATACCATCATTATGCAACATATTGTGGTAAAAAGCTCTGATCTTGATGAAGTTTTGCTTAGATCATGTTAGCCATGGTTTGTGTTCATTTTGGTCCCATAAACTTGGTGTTTATGAGTATGGTGTACTCTAAATCATATGATCTGTCCTTTCAGACGTTTTGGAGTGTTTAGAGTCATAAAAATGTAATCTTGGTCCTTAGTTTTCTTCCATTCATGGGTTATGAGGTCTTAATGTGTTAAGAAGTTAGGGTTTTGGGTATTGGTCACTTTATAGGAATGCAAGATCATAAAGTTGGAAATGGATTAATAACTTATTAGAAAGGAAGGTTGGCAGCATGTACGTGGTCAACTCCCCGTAATCTGGTCAATGTGTATTACACTGCTAGAAAAACAGCCTTTTATGATGCACAATGCATGTCGTAAAATGCTCAGACGACGCGCAAATACGTGTCAAGGAAGGCCCTATCATAACGAGAGATGACACGCTTTTGCGCGTCGTCTATTTATGATGCGCATTTACGACGCAATTTACGATACGCATTTACGACGTGCAGTTACGACACACAATGCGTATCAAGGAAGGCCGTGTCATAAAGGAAGACAACACGCATTTGCGTGTCGTAACCTTACGACGCACGTTTAGGACACGCATTGCGTATCATTAAAGCCCCTGTCATAAATGAAGATGACACGTGTTTGCGTGTCATAATTTTAAATGTTATATATATATATATAGATATATATATATATATATATATATATATATAGATAATATATATATATATATATATATATTTGATAGAATTACTAATTTTCAAATTAAACAACAGATTGAAATTATCATAATACAAAATAAAATATCATACATACGAACAATAATTCATTTCAAAAAAATATCTCATGTCAAACAAGTTACCTAACATTACATGTCAAACAACACTACATGTCAACACTAATAACACTTAAAAACAAGCTTTTTCCTGGATTTGGAGCACCTACTATTCCTATATCAGCAACCAACTTTAGGTCCAATTCCAACCACCTGTAAAAGAAAAACATTGTAAAAGAACAACATTAGAAGATCAACATTTGCTTGATTTGATGATTCAACATTAGTTGCCCTTGGACCTATTCCTGTTAAAAATATACATATGAAATATATATATATATCATATATATATATAATATATATATATATATATAGCTTATGTGAAGGCAAATTGAGTTAACTTACCAGCATGAATATGTATGTTAATGTGCCTTGGGATACTTCCAATTCCAATAGGACCATATGCCCCAGTATTTGTATTTGCATGACTATCAAAAAGAGAATTTCTTTGTAGAGGAAAGGGCTGCATGATTAGCAGCAGCACATAAAGTTCTAGGAGCATAGATTAAAAAAAAAGAGGCAGCAAGATGAAGTAGAAAGGAGAAAAGATTACCTACAAATGACCCCAAAATGATGCCAAAGACTGAAGTCAGTTTTATAAGTTTAGGACGTCCTCTTTTAGCTTTTCACGACCCCCTTGTACAACCCGCTCGATCACAACATATTCCAAAAAATCATACTCAAGCTGTAGAGAAAACCACCAGACCACAATTCAATTCCTTTTCAAATATCACACGCAATAAGAGAATCTTAAACTGCCTTGAATCAAAGTATTTTTGGTGGCGTCAAGGACAGCTCCCAACCAAACCATTACACTTTTCTCATGTAAAGAACATAAATCTCTTTAAAAGTGCCTTTGACAGATGAAGAAGTGAGTTCTAATATTTTGTCAACAACAAATGAACATTGTGCATCCTCATTACAGCATTCTTTGACAGTAATCTGATTGAATAATCTTATAATCAAAATCATGCAAATCAGATTTATATAATATATTTCATCATTTTCATGCAAAATTTATAAAAATGTATGTTAGAATAAGTTAGTTACCTTAGAACCAGAAGAATTATCAGTCAAAACCTTATTTAATTGACATCTTTTTGAATTCTTTTGTATAAGAAATGATGCAGCTTAACTTAAATAAAAATCAAATATACATAGTTACATACAAGTCTAACCTTCAGGAAAATCAATAAGCAGCTTCATAGAGTAGATAATTAAATCATGATAATCCAAAGCATTACATGATTGTAATATTTCCTCATATTTTGTAAGAATTGCAGCCTGAACCAGATTCTCTTATCAGAATAATAGTTTAAAACTAACAAATTAAGAAACTAGAATATCCATGTCAACTTACTCCAATTGCATTTCCTGATTTTTTACAGTCTTCATAACTTTTCCCTGAAGCTTTAGCCTAAAAAAGAACAATGTTTAACGCTAACAGATGATTCGTGTGTCAAAAAAAACTCGAATGACATAAGTTGACTTACTTGAGCCACAAATTTGTCATCAGAATCTGAAATCTGTATTTTATTTCCACTCTCTGAGAGACGAACAACTTCAATGACTGCCTTTCTTTGTTGTCCCTGTCCATACACCAAAAACTCTGGTGTTCGACCTACCCTATAACATAGGCAATATAGCCCATATGATTATATGAAAAATAAATGAGAAATATTTGCTTTCCTTTTTATCCAGAGAGTGACAATTAATCAGCACAAAACATACCACCAGACCTGGAAGGCTGCCCTGACACATAAGCACTGGTTGAAAATGAAATACTTTTGTCCAACACATTTATACACATTGATTATTGGATACCTGTTGATAAGATTAAGAGGAGACAAGTTTTACTTGCCTCTTCACGTGCATACTGATCTTCCCAAGAGGTAGAGGAAGGGCCTGCATTATATTGTTGTTGATATTCATTTTCCCAGTCCCCACTTGCAAGTCTGACCTAGTTATCCTCAATAGTCAATTCCCCACGACTCATCTTTGAAACAAACTGAAGGAACTTGCAGTTCTGCATATTATTTGCCAAACCAAATAAATAATATCCTGATTATAAAATAAAAAACATTTTAATTCAAAGTAAGTAATGTAACCTGAAACTTTGGATTGGTGTTCTGAGCTAAAGTGTGTGCTAGCATTTGGGTATGCTCCATAGCAGCCAAAGATGGAATGTTTGCACCTGCCATTCGGTCCACAGACATCATCCGTGTTTGCTCCTGAAATCAATAACATGATAATTAATAGTAAGTCAACATTTAACTATTATTTTAATTATTGAAGTGAAAGAGCTCACTGACATGCTGGAATTCAGAAGCCCAACCCTCAGCACCATGTTGTCATTCAAAGGATAAAGCCCAAGCATTCGGGTCCCCACCGTGTTGTTGGGGCCCCATGACTTGCGACTCCCCCCAAAACTGATCCAACTCTGTTTTTGAAGTAAGAAGCATTATGCATAAAGAACATAACTATGCCCATTCCTCGTTTCATACTCTTCCAAAAATCAGATATGACAAGGAAAACACAGGCAAATTGATACATCAAAGGTGCATCAAGTATAAAAAAGAACATGGAAACTGATATTAACAACAATAACTTTGATCATTAGAATAAAAAAGAGAAAGAAAAATAGAGAGGGAAGAAATGGAATGGAATGAATCACTCCATTCCATTCCATTCCATATTCCAACCTTTACCTTGTTTTCTTATCATTATCAGTTGTATCTACAAAGAAGAACAAGTGAGGAGAAAGTTTAATTATATTTATAAAAAATAATCAGGAGTCTTGCAGGCTGTGTGTGGTTCAATCTGCTTTGGGGCGAGATCAAACTGAAGAAAATTATGTTCCATGTTCGCTCCAACTTCCAGAATGGCAGCCATGTTTCCACATCTGTAACAGTAGTTTGGTGCACTGAACATTGTCACCACATTCTTGTCCTAATATCAATCGGAAACTTATCAATAAGCCTAATCATTATCATTGAAGAATGATAGAGGGAGGGAGGGGTAATTAAGTAAATAAACATGTCACCAGTTGAAACCCTCCATGACAAGCTGGTGAGCTCTGGAGATGAGAGTAAGCACATTTGTATGGTTGAAGTGAGACACGATGTCTTGTCCGAATGTGTACCCAACCCCACGTTGAGAGATCCCCCACCCGCATCTGTCATCTGGATCCGACCATAACAGATCACACATTGGTCCTTCATGTGGGACCTACAAAATCATAAACACACCAATTTAAGTATTACAATTTAAGTATCACTATCATCTAAGATTGCAGGATTCAGTCTTTATGATATGTGTATACTAATTCGAACGTGCTTTTTTATAGCAAACATGGAGTCCCAACGACTTGTTGTATTAGTTCTAAGTGGAAAATCAGAAAGCAAGAAGGAATTTGCAAGGTCTTTGAAAGAAAGTTCATCCCTTAAAATCACAGATGATGTAAAGTTCCAGACCTATTTGCATTCTGAGATGGAAAAGCAATCAGAAAAAGATGAATTCAACATCAATACTTACATGGATCCTGAAATCACTAAAGAAGGGCATTGGTCCTTCAGAAAAAGAGGAAAAAGCTGCCTACTAAAGAATGGCTTGGGGAGCCTATACTTGCCTATCATTAGCAAGCCTGAATCCTGAAATCACACACCACAGGTTTGCTAACTGCTTGAAATTATCATTAATCCTTACACATAAGTTGATGCTTATATTTGTTAAATACTTTGACAATGAGATAACCATGAAATGGGAAACTGGGAATGGAAAATATATATCTATATAAAGATTTACCTGCTTGTCGCCTAGCTTGATGACACCACTTTTTCGGGATAATCTTTGTGGAGAAAATTGCAATCAAGCCCTAAATTGAATGGTTCTCCATTTAAAGAAAACACAGTATAGTGCTAGAGTTGATAATCTGGAAGAAAAAAGACGAAGAACAGAAGAATATGAGGTCAAACTAACGGAATGGAATAAATAAAGGAAAATGCTTACCTTTTTCTTCGAACGGATGGCCAATTGACTTTCAATCTTCGGTGTTAGGGCTTAGCGATTGTAATAGGAAGAAGACAAACATACTCTCATAGACGATGGTTGTATGTGCTTGATTTTGCGAACATGAGTTAAAGGAAAGAATTAGGGGTTTCTTGTTGTATGTAAGATTAGGTTTTTTAGTCGATGTTGTAGTTCGTATAAGTCAGGGGAGAAGTCGGGAAAGTGGTTAGAGGAGAAGGGAATCGCTGAAGAAGAAAAATAGGATGTGTTTGTAAGATGGAAGGGAAAATTGGCTTAGAAGCTGGTCAAACATAATGAAACGTTGAAACGTTTGGAAACAACTTCTCCTAAATGGTTGGAGAAGAATGTGAAACGATGGATTTTACTTTGTGCCGGTTGGAAGGTAAGATATGTGACGTAATTGGAAGCCGGAAATACAAACAGTAGCATATCATGATGGGGGTTTTGTTATCGGTGTAGTGCGACAGGAAAGAATGGTTGGAGAACATGGTCGGAGACACTTGGTGGTGCGAGATCGGAGGTTGGGTGGTGGTGCGATGCTGCTATGAAGACGAAGGCCCTAGGGCTTTTTCTTGCTAGTTAGAAGAGGCGAGGGGAGGTTAATTTTTTGGGATCCAATATAGGCGGGTGAAATCCCACCTTAAAACGAATGTTTCATTAAAAAATTATAAAGCGACACACTTAGATGACACACATTTTATGAAAGGTGCCCTCCGCATTTTCTTTTTTTTCTTTTCTGACACTAATTTTAGGGCACGCACAAATGCGTATCCTCTATCCTTCAAATTTTGCAAAACTAACATTATTTTTTAGGGCACGCATAAATGCATGTCCTTTTTCAGCGCATGTCATTGTTTGTGCTTCATTAAAGGGTTTGTTTTCTAGTAGTGTTACGCTGTGCGTATAAGCTGAGTACGTTGGGCGTACTCATCTGAGTTGGCTCGGTTGACCCCTTTGACTTTTCACTTTAACTAGGATTTGGACTAAGTTTGACCTAGGGGTATTTTGGATATTTTAAGATGTGGACTAAGATTTGGTCACTGGTTATTGTGAAGGTGATCGCTAGAGTTCGTATTCAAAGCAGGGTATTGTTCATCTATTTCGTTAGTCTATGAGGTGAGTCTTCCTCACTGTACTTATGGGTCGAAGGCACCAATGTCAGCCCACTAGATCATGGATCTTGGTATATTGATTTGATGTTATGTTGAGTATGTGCTAGATTGGTAGATCTATATGATAACATGTGTTCACTAAGTATGAGTTAGACTGGTAGATTTGTATGATTATATGTGTTGCTTGTTATTGATTGTTATTGTACATGTCGACATATTATAGTTTGTTGGGTTGACGCGTTCCAAATTTGTGTTGAAGGCCAAAACACCCGGGGCGGTCCGGATAGACTGAAGGCCTGTGCAGGAAGACTAGTCAAGCTAAAGGCCCGGAGAGCGGTCCATATAGACTGTAGGCCCAGTGAGGCGGTCCAGTCATGCTTAAGGCTCTGAGAGCGGTCCAGATAGGCTATAGGCCCTGAGAGGCGGTCCAGTCATGTTGAAGGCTCATGTATGCATGTTCTTATCTGTATAGATGTGTGTGTGTGTGGTACTTGGGGGAACTCACTAAGATTTGGTGTAAAATTCGAGATTTGGTATGTTTCTTTTTTAAACCCTTATTATAAAAATTCCTTTCATTTTAGTCCTTATCTAGTATGCGGGCCGTACTCTATGAGTACGCTTAGCATACTATCTTATTAATGGGTCGCAGATGCACCCACGTACGATGGGCGTACGTGGGAGTATGCATGGCGTACGCAATGTAGGGGCAAACCCTAATTGTTAGGTCTTGTGCCATATTTAAACAACTTAAGACACCCTTGGACCTTCTAATGAACAACCTCCATCTCTCTATACCCTAAAATTGAAACCCTAATTGTCATTTTTGAGATTTGTGCTTGAACGTGAGTTTTGGTGGTGTTTTTGGTAAAGTAGAAGAAGAATAACACTTGGAGGTTTCTTGGGAGTGGCTTGAAATTGTAGATCCTGAGTCATATTCATCTTAGCAAGCCATTTGAGGTAAAAATATATCATCGTGAAGGTTCTTTCTGCTAGATCCAACTTAGGGTGTTATTTCAGCATTTTTGGGTATTTTAAGCCATATTTGAGATTACGTACTACTTCAGAAAGCCATGGATATTAGATCTTAGCACCTTTGGGGTCCCTTTTCCATAAAAATGCAATCTTTATGAGTTATTTTGGTCCATTCATGCGTTAGGTTCCTTGTTATGGTTCTCTTTGAGTTTTGGGTCTTATTTAGTCATGCATGGGAGTAAAGTTGCCAACTTTACGTGTTCGGTCGCCATTTAGGATCAGATCTAAGAATTTGGTTTGATGGCTTAACTGATTAAGTGCTTAATGGGTTGGGTTGGTTGTCTGTGGAGTACGTGGGGCGTACCCAACTGGTACGCTGCGTGTACTGGCCCTGTAAGGAGTATGCTAAGCGTAATTCTAAGTACGCCCAGCGTACTCAATAGTTTCACTATCGGTTGACTTTCACAGGTTTGGGCCATATTTTTGATTTTTAGGGTTTGGGCCTTGTTGGGCCATTGGACTTCTGATTTTTTGACCAATGTTAGGCTATGGGCTTTCTTGGATTTAGGCCCATGATGGATTGTCAGCCCAATAAGGAGGATGGGCCATATTGGGCTTTGGGATGCCATTTAGGAATTTGGGCTTTTTGGGCCAATGGGTTGGGCCTTGGTTTTGGGCCAAGTAAGAAAAGGGTAAAATGGTATTTTACACTGGATGTTGGAAAAGTAATATAGATTCTTGAATATGGGTGGAGACCTAATTATTAATTGGATATTATTTGATGGTGTTAGCGCGGGGATATTCCAGATCATCAGACCGAGATTTTATTTGAGAGATTCAGCAACTTGAGGTGAGTTTCATCATTGTGTTTAGCGGGTCGAAGGCACCAATGTCGTCCCACAGTTTATTATGGGTAGGATGCTAGTGTCTGCGTGACTCTTGCATGTATGATATCTGTTATGTATGACGAGCGGGGCCTCATGATTATATTGTATGTTATTTATGTTTGTGATTCTTGGATGTGTTTATGTGTTTGCATGTATACCGTGCGGGGCCTGATGACTGACAAATCTGTTCTGAGCGGGGATTGATGTCGGCCGGGGCCCAACGACGGGTCGGGCCCATTATATGTTTGATATGTATGGTATGTATGTTATGTGGGGAACTCACTAAGCTTTGTGCTTGTGGTTCTCAGTTTTGTTTCAGGTACTTCTGGTGCCAAGGGGAAGAGCTCGGGATGACTGTTTTTCACACACCACATTGT